TCCTCGATTTTAGAGAACAGGAACTCGGCGTTTCGGACACCTAGAGGCTGGGCGCTTCATTCCCCTACATTAAAAGGACACAGAAGAGCTTGCTACTGCGACTCTCCTCGGGCGGCCGCTTCATGTCCGCAGGGAGCGCTTCTGTGTTGCTTTGTCCCGGTTCACTCAGCCCAAGCTTGCTGTGCAGAGCTAGCTTCTCCCTCACGCTTCACTTTTACTTTTTCAAATAAACTCTGTCATTGCTGAAAAGAAAAGACAGATCATGCAGAGATAGAAATTCCCTACGATGAACGTTATCATTACGTATACCTGAAATATACCAATAAAATTTTTTAAAAAGTGGAGATTACAGAAAATCTCCTTCCCCTAGAACAGTAAACTGAACTGTTAAGAGAGCCACCCGTTACTCAACTTTGTTCAAAATAAAACAATTTTAACATAGTTTTTTTAAAAAGCAAAGGTAACATGAAAATTACATACAAGTATGAAGGATTTCAGGCTTCACAGAGAGATAAAAGGGAAAGTTATTCTGCCCTGCGTCCAGTGCCATTCTCCGGTAACTACTAAATATCTCTTCCGTGATTTGTGCAAGTGCAGGCACGTGAATCCTCTTCCCTTTCGTACAGTGGGCCTTTTGCTCTGCGCTCTGTGCTTTGCTTGCTTTTGTTCATTCAACATTATCTCTTGGGGATTTTTCCCTATCAACAGGGACCCCTCTTGTTCTTTCAAACAGGGAAATAGTGTTGCTTTATACTATGTGACTGTTTAAACATCCTCCCATTGATGGACACATAGGTTATTTCCAGTTAGTGCTGTTTAATATTTTACATTACAGTAGTGAATATCTGCATACGGATAAGTTCTGCATGTTTGTACCTGTATGAGAGATTCTTATTGGATAAAAGAGTATGTGCACTTTCGGTCTGAGTATTATGAAAGGATCCTTCACAGGCTTTTCCACCAGTGTGTATGAAAGTGTCCAGTTCCCCAAACCCACGTCAAAATCAAGCTGACTCTAAAAGTCTGGTGATACAATAGGCAAAATGGTGTTTACTTTAGTCAGTTCTTTAACTATGAATTTGAGCATTTTTATCATTGGCTATTTAAATTTGTATTTCTGTTACTCATACCTCTTCCTCTTTTGTTTTCTTCCTGATTAAAAAATTACTGATCTTATCAAGTTGTAATGTCTCTTTCTTTTAGTACTGGAGGTTGAACCCAGGGCCTTCCTACAGACTTACAAGCCACGTCCCAGCCATCCCCCTCCCTCCCCCACACCCTTTTGAGCCTGGGTATTTCTGAGTTGCCCATGCTGGGCTTGAACTCTTATTTCCTCCTGCCTGAGCCTCCCAGAGGCTAGAATTCCAGGCAGGCACCACCGCTTCCAGCTGTAATGTCATTTGACATGACAGAGTCCAACCCTTCGCTTATTATCCCTGGGAAATGGTTTTTCCAAGTTTGTTTTTGTACTTAAACTTTGTTTGTAGAACATTTTCCACTGCAGCAGTTTTAGATTTTTTTTTTTTTTTTTTTTTTTTTTTTTTTTTTTTGAGACAAGGTCTCGCTATGCAGTTCAGGCTGGCCTTGAGCTCACTTAGTAGCCCAGGCTGGTCTCCAACTAGTGGCAATCCTCCTGCCTCAGCCTCCAGAGTGCTGGGATGACAGGCGTGGGCCACCACATCCGGCGAGCATTTTACCTATGTAGATTTATCAGTTCTTTCCTTTACAGTTTCTCCCTCTTAAGATTTTTAAAATTCGACAGTGTCTTCTCTAGTGGTTTCCTGTTTAACAGCATGCACCTGCAATGGACAGGACCGCGCGGGGATCAGGCTGCACTAACCCCCTCACCCGTGCGCACTCACCGGCCTCAGCACCCTGCACACCTCGCGGAGGATCTGCTCCTGGCTCTTCACCGAGCACAGCACCAGGGTGCAGACCACCACATCCATTGAGCCGTCGGCCACCTGGTGCATGTTCTCACCCACGCCCACCACAAAGCGCTCAAACTGTAGGTGCCGATTCTCCGCGATGCTCTTGATCAAGTACTTCTCGAAGTTGGGGTTGGGGTCAATGCACGTCACCCTGCACTCAGACGGGTAGAACTTGAAGTTGGCCCCAGTGCCGCAGCCCAGCTCCAGCAGGGAGAGCTTCCCTGCGGGGCCTGCGAACTCCTGCAGGTTGCTGAAGAGCTCCCGCTTCTTGCTTGCCATTTGTCGGTTGTATGTCACAGTGAACCTCGACAAGAAGGCGGGAAACCATTTTTTGCAAATCCAGTTCCATACGCCCAGAAAATTCAGCAGGTACATGGGAAGTAACAGGATGTAGAGGACCAGCTGAAGGGCAAAGATAACGAACGCCATCTCTCAGACGCGGAGAGAACACAGCCCCCGCGGGAGGCGGCTCCTTTAATTACAGGAAGCGGGCCGCTCCCGGCGCCCCGCGCAGCCAATCGGCGCGCGGACAGAGCTTGCTGCGGGCGGGGGCGCCGCTCCGGCCGAGTCCGCGCGGGGCGCTGCGGCAGAACCGAGACCTTCGGCGGGAGTTGGCTCGCGGCGTGTGCGCTGTGCAGTGGGGTGGGAACGCTCCCAGCGCTTCCCTAGTGGAAGGCTGACTGCCGCCCTCTCGCCCAGATCGGCTTCCTCTCCTCTCTCGCTGATTCCCGCCTCGAGCTCTCTTCCGCCCCGGGCACTTCCACCCGCCCGGGCCCCGGCCCCTTACGGAGGACGCGTGCGGTGCCGCCGGTCCGCGCACCAGCTGGGCAGGGCGGGGCCCCCGTGCGTCACAGCCCCGCTCGCTTCCCGCTCACACTCCCCTCCCCTCAGCGCACCCTCCTCCAGGCCTGAGTTTTAAAGAGGAAGCACAGGGCGAGTTTTCCTGGCCACACTCAACAAGAATCCCTGCTTTTACTTTCCCGGCGGAGGCTCAGAGAGTAACCCAACAGCGAGCTCGTTGCTAATTCACTGTTGGCGCTGCCCGTCTGTGAAGAGCAAGCTCGGACTTTAAACTGCGTTTGACTACTGTGTGACTCGGCTGATTCAGAAGAATACAGTCCTGCTGGGGTGGGAGCGCACACCTGTAGTCCCAGCACTTGGGAGGCTGAGGCAGGATTGCTGCGAGTTTGAGGCCAGCCTGGACTAAACGGGGAGACCTTGCCTAAAAAAAA